TTATGTGATGCGCTTCAATTCTAACAACTAAATTTTGACGTAATGAGATGTAATAACAGTCGATATTATTGTGATTAAAGTGGAATTCTGACAGAAGATAACAATCTAAAGTTATTTGATATTTTTTTGCGAGTCACTTTCATATTCACTTATGGATGGTGGCTGCATTCGAATGACGTTGAGCGCACATCGTATAACTGTGTAAAAATTAATCGATAGTATGGTCACACCGCAACGCTGTTAAGTGAATGTTTAACTTCAGGATGAAATGAGTCTCAATTGAGAAGAGAATGTTTGTTTTAAATTCTAAAAAAGGTTGGATGTAAATACACCATAAACTGATGTATTCAAGTGTTAATCGTTATAATTTTCGTTGTGTGAAAACTGCAAATTGCACGAATTTGGCGTGCAATAGTAATGAACAACAGCAGTACTGCACACACAACGTTGATACCCTCAACACAGCCAATCTTGAGTTTTGATGCTATTTCAACTGTCAGGAATACGAATCGTGCGGAGGTACTTTCAATATTCTCATGCAAATAGCACTCAGTTGTGGCACTTTGCTTATCGTTCCACCGAAACTGTAACATATTGCTGATGATAAGTTGACAATAAGCTGGTTTCTTGACTGAACATCGTTCAGTATCATCCAAGAAGTGAATTTGTTTGATCGGATATTACTTTCCAACAATTACTCTACGTTGAGTTATGTGTATTTCTATGTATCACTCAATAAATTTTGAATGTTTTTAATTTCTGCCATTATTCAGTCGCCACGTCGGGTCACAATGCCGCACTCAGAAGGATTCAAAGGAATATCGCGTGAGTGGATGTGTGAAGTGGAGAAAAATCTCCATGCGATTGAAATTATTGGTAAAAAATTAATTGCCGATCGAGAGACATGCTCGAATCCGGGCACCGAATTGATTCTCATTTCTCAGGAAGTTCGTTAGTCGTCATTTATTTCTATGCTCCCTGGTCGATCGATCTTGTTGTTGTGATGTGTTGACCACAGCAAAACGCAGATGTGCGAGTTATTTTAACTGTGTGCCTTCCGTAAACAGTACTTTGTTCACTATTTAACTCAAAAATACCACCCATCATTGTTCCTCACGGCGTTCAAGCGAAAACAAAAAA